GCATGTATGAATTTCCTGTGGCCGCCACAAATGACCAGAAACTGGAGGCTGAAAATGACGGGAATGTGTTCTGTGACGGTTCAAGAGGCTGGAAGTCTGAAACCAAGATGGAGGCTCACAAAGAGAAGCTGTCCTGAGCCCCCGCCTGGCTTCTCGTGGCGGCTGGTGGCCCCGGGAGTTCTTGGCTTGCAGACCCAACACGGTTCCCTGACCGTGTCTTCCCATCACCTCTTCTGGGTGTCTCTCTGTGTCCTCTCCTCTTCTTGTAAGGACACAAGTCATTGGATTTGGGACCCACCCTCAGTGGAGGGTGGTGTCATTAAGGCCCACAATAAATTACATTTGCCAAGTCCCTGTTTCCAAATGGGGTCCTGTGCTGAGGTTCCAGGTGAACATGAATTGGGGGGGCATGTTATTCAACCCAACACAGGGGGTGACACAGGTAAGCGATCACCACAAGAGCAGCAAGGGAGTTGGCGGAGGACCCATGCAGCATCCAAGAAAGCTTTCCCCAGGACCTCATGAGGCACTGGGGATCCAGATGGTGAGCAGAAACTAACTAAGCAGAGGAAGCGGAAAGTAAACCAGGAAGATGGAATCACACAGGTAAGGTCCAGACAGAAGGAGGCAGCAGGTGCACAGAGGGGCCGCGCAGAAAGCCAGTGTGGAAGACGGGCTGGTCTTAGAAGCTGCTGTCCAGAGTTTGGATTGTATCCCTGGGGCCACAAAATGCCTATCAAGGACTGGAAACAGACGAGTGTTTCTAGAAATTTCCCTTTGGCTGAGGTGAGGTGGATGGACTGCAGTGGGTGAGACCAGGTGCAGGGACCCCAAGGGTCCGTGTCTCTGGGGAAGCTCCAGGCCCGAGGATACAAGTGGCTCAAATTCTGTGCAGATGCCCCACACATTGTCCTAACCAGTTAGCTGGAATGATTCCCACTGAACTGAACAGAGGGGTTTAACGTAGCACAAGCAGGATCTGAGCTGGACAGTCGGACTGCTGTCAGCCCAAGATGAACACGCAAAGTCTGAATGCCCTGGGCACCTGGTTGGCTCAGTCTGTCGAGATCCGACTTTGGGCTCAGGTCATGATCTCGAGGTCTGTGGGTTCAGACCCACATCAGGCTCTGTGCTGACAGCTCAGAGCCTGGAGCCTGCTTTGACTTCTGTGTCTCCCTCTCTCTCTGCCCCTCCCCTGCTCACACTCTGTCTCTCTCTCGCTCTCTCTCTCTTTCTCTCTCAAAAATAAACATTAAAAAATTTTTAATAAAATAAAACTCTGAACGCTCAAATACGTGTTCTCTTTCCAAGCAGGCAAGGAGCTTATGAACATCCCAACCCACTGAGATGCACATGCCCTTCTCTTTTATGGTCCCTTGGAGTTAAGTTCCTCTAAGACGTGTACCAGTAAGTCCCATCTGCTCACAGATAAGTCCTCTCAACTTCGTGTGCTCGACTCCTCGCTCTTCAAAGGTCACCTTCTCTCTGGAGCCCCCAAGGCTAGGTTCCACACCCTCCCTGAAGAGTCCAAAACTGCCTGAAGCAGGCTCAGGTTCTAGACCTCAATGCCTACTCTCCTTTTAACTTGTCTCCTCCCCCAGAATACAGGCCCAAGAGGTATCTTGTTTACCTCTGTACTCGCAGCCCCCTGCCCCTCCCCCCCCACACACCCTGAGTGTTATCAGACAGATGAATGGATGGATTTCTTCCAGATGCCGCACTGGCTTCAAACCAAATGAATCAATCAATTCGCTAAATCCACACGGAGCCATCGATTGCTCAAGTGCTTTATGCTGCCCCCTCCCGCGGCCAAGAGCCAGCCATCCTCAAGACTCACCTCATTCCTTCTGCAGCCATCTCATCAAGGTTGGCAGTGTCCTTCGTTTCTGCCCAGTTTGCTCCCAGGTCACCCCACCCCATGTCATCTGCCAAAATGATCACAAAATTCGGCTTCTGGCCTCTTGTGTCCCCGCTGCAGCAAAAATCCACGAGAGGATAAAGACATCCCAGGAAAGTCACCCCCACGAAGAGAACCTTTAGAAAAAGCCAGCCCATGGTGGGCAGGGGAGGGCAATGACTGTCTGTGGGCCACGGCTGAGGATTTTTCCAAGAGCTTCCTTCTGCTCACTTAAGGTGCAGGGAGTCTCTGGAGAAGCAGTGGTGGAGTCTGCAAGGAGATACTGGTTGTGGGGGTCGTGTTGGTGGGGTGCCTAGAAGGACGCTGGGGCTGCGGAAATGAGGCCCCCACCTGGCATCCTAATTCAAGACAGTCAGGAAATTCGCAACCTCGAATTTGGTTTGCCCCCTGCGGCTCCGAGAGACGACCAGCCGCGTGCGGCAATCAGATACCCGTGTCAGTGATGGCTCTTTGGCCACTTAAAAAACGACCCCTCTGTGCCCGGGGACGTTAGGGCCACAGCACAAGCTTTGCATCTGTTCGGGACTCCAGCTGGTGAGAGCAGGATAAATTCTCACATCTGCAGAACACCTGGACGTTCTAGAAGCCGCAGTCAGCCTTGAATGGGTTTCTCAGTTCCAGATGGTGGAGGGCTTCATGTTTCTGTCAGGTTTCCTGAAAGAACAAAAATTGACAAGAAAACAGAGTTAAACTGCCAGTGCAGCTGTGTTTTACTCAGTAGCTTAGGAAATAATCTCTTTTCCATGCCAACAGATGTTTTCCTTCTGATTCGAATATGCAACTGGTTCATCAGTTTCCCCACCTGAGAAATCATGATGACAGTGATATTTGCAACGGACCTACAATCACAAGGTTGGTAACGGCATTATAGATGGTGTCACTCAACCCATTCACCGTATGGATGGGAACACTGAGGTCCACGGCCCTGGGACAGGCAAAGACTAGCACCCAACTCTGCCAAAGCCCAGTTGCTCCCCCACTCTCACCCCACCATGCTTCTCTGATTCCCAAGAAATTCCCAAACTAATTATGACCTTATCAAACCCACTGAAAATTCTAGAAGAGTGAAACCTTCGTTTCCAAGACATGATTCTTTCTAAGAGTCATGCTGTCAACTAATATATCTCTATAAAATTCTTTTTTTAAATTTTTTTTAATGTTTATTTATTTTTGAGAGAGAGAGAGAGTGCACTCGTGCATGGGCGGGGGAGGGGCAGAGACAGAGAGGGAGACACAGAATCCGAAACAGGCTCCAGGCCGTGTGCTGACAGCTCAGAGCCTGATGCGGGGCTCGAACTCAGGAACGGGGAGATCCTGACCTGAGCCAAAGTCAGACACTTAACCGACTGAGCCACCCAGGTGCCCCTGAATTTTATAATTCTTGATGGAAATTAATTTGAGAAAAAAAGAAACATAAAGATATTAATGGTGTTGTTATCTAGGTGGAGAATATATGGGTACTTAACAGTAGAACTTTCGATTTTGCTAGTGGAAATCTTTCACCATAAAATGTCAGGAAAACATTTCAAACAAATTTAATGGAAATTGTCCCTTTATATCTCGACAATGTAATTTTTAATAAGAAACTCTAAAGACATGCTCAATCAGGGTTTCTCACACTTAGATGTACACACAAATCAGCTATAGAACTTATCAAATACAGCTCCCAGGGGACGCCTATGTTCCGAGCCCTTAAATCACACTTTGAGTAACAAGATGCTCAGAAATAAAAACATCCTGGGGTGCCTGGGTGGCTCAGTCAGTTAAGCATCCAACTCTTGATCTTGGCTCAGGTCATGATTTCATGGTTCATGAGTTCGAGCCCCGCATCGGGCTCTGCCCTGCTTGGGATTCTGTCTGTCCTTCTCTCTGGCCCTCTTCTGTTTGCGCTTTCTCTCTCTCAAAATAAATAAATAAAGTTAAAAAACTAAAACAAAACAAAACAAAAACCATCATGATTCTTGTCCAAGAAGAAAACTAACCTCACTGGAGACGCTTAACCTACCGGAGAGAATTCAGCTTCAGTGGACAAGCACAAAAGCAAAATATCAGGTTGAACTTTGAAAAAACAGGAACTGAGGGTTATATTTTCAAGTGCCACTTGCAAATGGGAACCATAGAATAAAAACCGTATCACCCCCCTTTCACCTGAAAGCCCTAAATTTATGAGGCTACTAAGGAGGCACAGACTTGAACTTCTGGACCGAATGAAAGCATGTTGGACACCCAAGCCACTGGGAGTGTTAGAGCTAGAGAACCAATCTGTAACACATAAAGATGCTGCCGGGGCTGGGGTTATGGTGGATGTGATTCGCACTTATGTGTCCCTGCCCTTGCGGAAAGAATGTACAGAGCCAGCCAGCCACCCCAACTGCCCACCCCAGTGGATCGGGGAGGGGACGGGTTGGAGATATGTAAGTTCTGGAAGACCCAGATAAACTCAAAAGGATGGGAAGATACATACTTAACCAAAATAAAAGGGAAAGTTTAAGTAAACAGTCATGGTCATCTGGAGGCCAATGAATCAATTGTTCAGAAATGCGAATTCTTCTGTTTTCCAAAAGGAGAGTTATTCTTTCAAACTCAATTAGATTCAACCAATATTTGTTGATCTTGAGGCCCCAAAGACTTCTCCCTTTCTAGAAGAAGAAAGAGCTCTTGCACAAGGAGGGTGCCCAACAAACACTTATTGACCTGCTGCTAGATTCCCAGCCTCATTCTACTGGCTTCTGACCATGAGCAACAATCATAGAAGGCTTTTCTTCTTAAAGCTACTTAGCTTGGAACTCTAGAGTGGCCTCATTCTTCGTCAGTAATCCATTTTGGAATGACCCAACACCAAGGACTTCAGGGGAAAAAAATTCACTTAAGAAAAAAGCTAAAATTAAGGTGGGAACATAAATAAACAGATTGTTTTTCTTAACAGTTCCACGATAAAACATTCCTTTGAGGATTTCCAAAGAGAATCATTCGTACTTAAAAATTTCACTGAATGGAAATAAGCTAATTTAGCCAGTACACCATTGCATTATCCTTCACGCCCATACCTCCAGGGAGATATTTAATCTTTTCCCCATTTATTTATTTATTTATTTAAACTACAGTGAAAAGGCAAACCGGAGATTCAAAGAATGGACCTGAGGCCATGGACTTTGATTAAGACCCAAGCTGACAGGGGCGCCTGGGTGGCTCAGTCGGTTAAGTGTCCGACTTCGGCTCAGGTCATGATCTCACAGTTTGTGAGTTCGAGCCCCACGTCGGGCTCTGTGCTGACAGCTCAGAGCCTGGAAACTGTTTCAGATTCTGTGTCTCTTTCTCTCTCTGCCCCTCCCCTGCTCATGCTCTGTCTCTGTCGCAAAAATAAATAAAAACATTACAAAAAAAA